GGACCCCCAATCCCCTCCAGCCTGCTGGACCCCCAGTTCCCCAGCTAGACCACCCCCCCCATCCTGACTTACCTGATATCAGGCAGCCATTTTGAATTGATTTAATCTCCCCCTAAAGCCCCTAAATGTCTGTACTTAGCCTAAGAGTAGTTTGACATGCTACCAAACTCCAGGCCAAATGACAGTTCCAAACATCACTTACCCATGCCACAGCGCATTAGTGAACCCTGGGTCAAAGCTGAATGTTGCCCTGTTTCTAAACTGTATGTAACCCAGGACTTGGGGGAGTTCCCTGACCTTGTTTTTGTTTCAAAGAATTCCTGAAAAGTTGTTTAAAAATGTCTAAATGCTGTAATAATGGATTTCAAACAGGATTAAATAATGACATTCATTTGACTTCAATGGCTGAAATAGTGTTTCATGTGTGTTTCAAAAACAAATAGCTTCCTGAAATTACATACCAACCTTATCTGCAAAAGGTTAATTCTACTGCTAAAAGCACATTCCTCTGAAGTTAGAGCCAGTTCAGATTGCTCAATGCTTGCTGCTTCCACATTCATCCGGTATATGTTTTCCTGATTACAGGAAGCCAAGGAAGTAGGGGAAATGGGTTCCTGCTGTGGATATAATGGTGATATCCAAAAGCCTTTAATTTTGTCATTTGAAAACAAATAGCCAAATTCACTGCTGATCAGTTGAAGTCAATGCAGCTACAGAATAGATCTTGGCTCCAAATTATTCACCTACACACCAAGGAGCATTCTATAGAGTACTATATTCTATACTCTTACTAAATGCACATCCTTACAGAATGAAATAGGATCATAGAACATCTACTCCTATGAGATCAGATGTATTTACTTGAGTTCTATAAGTCCGAATGTAGGGCAAAACAATTTAAGCAATAGCTGATAGGATGATGACAGGCATAATTATGCAGTTTAATCTACTTTGTATGTAGACTACTCTTGGCACCTCCCTGAGCAGTGAACTATGGCTGTTCTTCCAGATTATCTGATCCCAAAATAGACTGCCACTGTGGTTAGACACAGCCGGCACCCCAGAAAGCCATGTGTCTGCTGCACTATTGAAGAACAAAGCAATGCTAGAGAGAAAGAGGAAGCTTTAAAAAAGCACAAGGTATTAAACACGTATAAGACAGGGGTTTTGGTCCTTAAATTACTTCCAAGTAGGTTACTGCATAAGCCAAATGACCAATTCAATCTTTCTAAATGGCTTTCCTTAGGTCTTGCAATATAATCTAGCATGGAAAATTGAATAGGTTCAAACAGACCAACAAAGATAAAAATCTACAGCTTTGTGGGTGGGAGGTAATGAGCCAGGACTCCTCATTCCCTAGTCATCTTTTGAGAAAATACATGTAGGCAAGGTAGAGGAATATGCATCTTGAACCCCTTTCTCCAACAACCACCCACCAAGAAATGACATGTAAATTATCTGAGACTGCCTCAAGTACATAAAGGTAAACAGACACACTGACAATAGGCCTACTGTAAACTCCCACTAAAACTCTCCTTGAGTATAGCAGAAGCTGGATAGGGTTGTAAATTATTGACCAGGAAATGTCATATATTTTTAACTACAGAGAACAGGAGAGAAACAGCTCTTCTTTTCATGGTAGAAAGATACTAAATCTGTTTTACTAAACTCATCAAACACATGTACTTCTGTGTGGGAAATGCTTCCCTGTCCCTGCCCCTTGCCCCCCACCAAATGTAGAAGTATGTATTGTTCTGAATCCTGACCGGTGATTTATGCTTAAACCTGAGCAAGATGCAAATAAACCCAGTCTGAAGTAATTTCTACTACCAGATATGCCAATACAGTGCTTGTCACTGTTGCTCAAGTATTCTCTCTTGTATTGGTCTCTTTTGGGAAATATCCTAGAATGCTGTCGTAAGGCACCAGGTTACTCTACATCATCTATAGTGAAACTTGTAAAAGACACCACTCTTATTAGGCAACTCCTCATCTTAAGACAGTGGTTTTCAAACTGGGTTCCACAACAGATTGTTAGGAATTCTACAGTGTGGTACATGAGAAAATATGATAACCAACAGATTTTTATATGCTATTTAAATGGTTGCTCAAGGAAATAAGAGTTTTCTTTAGGGAGATCAGAGGAACAGCAGCGTGTGCCCAAAAACTTGTCAAACCTCTCTGCTACCTATACATTTGGTCCAATAAAAGGTAATCACAAAAAAAACACCCAAAAAACCTTGCCTCTCATTAAATGGATACCTACAAATTTCACTGCATTACACAGCAAGAAATATATGTGGGGGATTTAAAGTGTTTGGGTGAGCACCTCCTACTAGTTACTGTAGTCTGTCAGAGTTTTCATGCAAGTCATTCAGATTCCTGGAAATAATCCAGCTAGACTGAACATTAGTTTGGAGCTCAAGAAATACTCCTGCACTGAGGGTTTGGTCCAGCTCCCATTAATATCAATGGCAAAATTCCCAGTGAAATTCAGGAAAAGCTGGATCTAGTCTGAAAAACACATCCACCGCTGCTGAGTGCATAGCAACTGCCCATCTTCATGGAGACCTGCTTACAAAAGGGGAAGGAGTGCCAAGAGAAGCTTCACTTTGTTTTCTGCATTTAAAGCCTCAGAACATTTCAAAGCTACTAGACAGTAATAATATGATATTTTTGGATTCTGCCCTTGTTTTCGTACTCTGTAAAACCAAAATGGATCATAGTGACCGTAGGTCTACTCACTCCTTTTTAACTTGTGACCAATGCAACCTTATGTCAATTGAATGTAAAAACTGATATTTTACAGTGATTTTTTTTTCTGGGCATGGTGAGTTGTTAATGGAATACTGCCCTCATAAGATGTTTCTGCATTAGTAAATGAACCCCCCAACTTAGAAATAAAATGAACATTTATATTTTTCTTTTTTGAAGTCTTGGAATATATAAATTGCCTTCGCATGAAAGCCCATCCAGTTAGTACAAAAAAAAAAAGTGCTGGTCCTTTTGACATTATCTTGTTACCAGTTAACACGAACTGCCCTAAGAAGGCAGGACAAGGAGAGTGTAATCCAAATTTAGGAATGAAAAACCTGACACCTGTCCAGCTGTAAGGATTTACCACCTCTACTGGACTGGATGAAATAACTTCTTAGGTTTATTCCAGCCCTAGTTTTTTGTGAGCACATGCAGAAAAAAATATTTCACCATCATCTAAACATGGCCTTTTCAGTGTATGAGGTGACCATGCCTAGAATGTATTTTTTTTAGATTTACATTAACAAAAACATACCCACAGCTGTTACATCTTATGCTAAGCACCATAGTTTTTTATTTTCAGGGATGGGGCAGGAAGAGGGGGTCTGAATTAAATAGAAGAGTTTTTTTAACATGTCAAGAGCACAGAAAGTATAATTAAAGAATGTTACACTTAACATTTGGAAGGCTAAACATGGAATCCAAATGTACAACTGTGAGCATTATCTATGGGCAGACACATAAGTAGCAGCCATTTAGATTACCTTTTACCAGATCAGTGAAGTTTGTTCATTAATTTTAAATAGGCCTACATTAAAGAACTAACTAGGCCAGAACAGGTTTTCTAAAACCTATGTAAGGAATCTGTCATAGACTAATTTAAAAAGCCACACACACATTGCACCCCAAAGTCTTCACTTTGATGTTTAGATTCCACTGCTGTCAGTTTAAAGGAAACTAAGCAAAAACACCTGTCCTAAGCTACCTCTGCTTTTGTCATTGCAACCCATTTTTTCACTAGCTTTTTTTTTTTTTTTTAATAGTTGAGGTGCTACTACAGAATTTGATCCTCGCTGCATGTTGAATCTATGCCTGGCATATAAGCCATACAAAAAAAAAAAAAAAAGATCCTTTGAAGTTAAAGCCCTTAATTATTAGCTTGTGTCAAGATTCTAACACCAAATTTCACAGCATGCTGACTATTAAGTTTTGAAGTAAGAGAAACCCACATCATGTGCTGAGTACTGCAGTTTCATTTCAGAATAGAGCAAGACGCATGGTAAGATAGTTGGCTACTTTTAGGTATATTGTAAGTTAACTGACTGTTGCATACACTATAAAGATCAAAAATTTTGCTGACTGCTTTACCAGTACTGTGCTTTAACAACAAAATAAACATGTACATTTAAGCTTAGCTTTCTTTCAAGCAAATATGATAGAGTAAAGAGCTTTTATTTATAACTGTGGCCCCAAAACACTTATTTTGCAATTCTTCTTAAAAAGTTGTAGACTACCTTCCAGAAACAAAGGTCATCCAGTACAAAATATTGCAGTTTGTCCCATTTTTTTCATATTGAGAGATTCCTTATACTTCATACGTTTGAAAACACCTGCATTTAAGAGTTTGGGCTATTACAAGCCACATAGTGGCAGAGAGACAATGTCTGAACCTATGCTTTTACTCTTTAATACAGCAAAAGCTAAGCAACCCTTTTTGAAACATGTTTTAGCAGGTCATAGACCTATGTTTATGCAAAAAGAAAAAAAAACCCCAAGAAGGTAATATAAAAGTTAACGCTATTTGGCAGGACTAGGAAAGTTAGGTAGCTGAACAGAAAAAAAATACAGGTAACATCCGCTAGCTTATATACAACCTTTGGATTAGAAAAAAGAAAAAATGCTTCAAAACATACGTTTTTATAGAAGACAAGTATCTAAGAAACTGTGTAAACAATCCACCCAGTGTAGAACTGGAGGTAAGTAGCACAGCTGATAAAAGCAGATTAGCTTAATATGGCTTGGACCAGGTGTATTGAAACACCTGTTCAAAGAGGATTTATCAGTACTGTTGACAAATACATATCACCCCTGGTTAGTTACACCATAGTGAAGTCTTTTACCCCCTGAAAAGCTATTACACTCAGGATGTCATTGACTTCTTGTATGATCAACATTACAGTTATAAAGTCAGTTGCCAACATCTGTAAATTGGAAAAATCCAGCCTGAAATTTAAACTGACATTTCTTGTCAAACATGAATCTCTGAGGAATCCTGAAAGTTACAGGACATCACCTTCCTAAAGTGGCATTTAGATGAGTAACTTGCACTGACAGCCTGCCAGAAACATGAGTTCAACGCACTTCAGGTAGCCAAATGTTCCCCTCAAGAAGAGAAATCCACAGTTTCCAGATCTTCTTGGAAGTGTTACAGGGAGTGAAAAAACAATCCGTGGGCTTTTGTCCCCGCCAATGACAGTGGTGCTGTTTCTAAAAATACTCCTCCTCTTCATCAAAAAAGCCATTTTCCAGAGCATATGTACAGTCTGCATTTGAGACAGCTTGGCATGCACCTTTGTATTCTTGAATTGATTCATAGAGAGAGAACAGTTGACATAGTAATGACATATCTAGTTGCCGAAGGCCAACCTGGAAAGGGAAAGAAAAAGACATTCAAATATGATTTGATTTGCAATATGATGTCCTTGCATATTTTTTCCACAGCTTTAAGAGGACCAGTTGTCACACCTTGTGAAGTATTGCGATATGGTAGTGTAATTAAGTTTAGTAAGGTTATGTCCACCCTAATGAATAAGCCAGATAAAAGAGCAGCAAAAGAAGGCTTGCCACACAGCATTCCTCATGATTCAGTAATGTTACCATGCCCTATTTAATTGGCAAAAAAGCCATGCAATCCTAATCCAGCATACATCATGCAAAATTACTCAAACATACTGTACTCCCTGTGATACCAAAGACAGACTTAATGGTGTCATCATATTTGTCCCATTTACCCATCTTCCTCATATAGACTTTGCACAAGAAAGGGGATGTGTCTACATGTGCCCCTATGTTACTGTACCATCATTTAGTACTTCCAAAAGGACTTTTGGATGTACTAAATGACAGCACAGTAACAACTCGTAGGCTATTTTTAGCCCCTACATTGCTGTAGCAGTGGTGGCGGCACACTTTTTGCCCGCAGATGCTATGATGCCAAAGCGTCACATGCAGACGCACCCAGGGCTTCCTCCACCCACTGTTGAAGTATAATATGTTTATAAAGTATAATATGTTTATATGTTTATGGTAACATTTTCAAAAATAACCAAGTCATTTTAGGGGGGAAAAATGGGGCTTCAGTTCTTAAAATTACTTATCTGCATCTGATAAATTTATCCTTAATCCTTGACTTTTTCTGTGAAGTTTACACCCAAGGCAGTTGACTTATGCTGTAACCCTGTCAGAAGCAAATAAATCAGGTTCATATAAAATCCAACAGACTACTTGAAAGCAGCTAACAGCTGCATCAAACATTTTCCTGAGCAGTACGGAAATACAGCAAAGTTTGCAGTGCAACTGGTTTGTTTGTTTTTAACCTTTATGTGATTTTCAGCTTAATCTTTGTTCTCATGGGGGTCTTGAGATTGGAAAACTTTTTAAATTATGTTCTCATCTTGTTGGTCCTGAATTCCTGAAACAAATGCTCCAGACATCTTTAAGGCACCAGAATTATATGAACAAGAATAATTCCCAAGCCAAATACAAAGCAGGTAGAGAATAGAGTTAAGGATTAAATGACTAACTCTATTTTTACATAATAATTTCTCCACTGTGGCAATGAAGTGGGCAATACTTCTTTAGAAATGTTATGCTTATTTACAGAGATGATAAAACCAAAACAAGACTTTTCATTTGTGATGCTTTAAATGCTGCTGGGTAACATTTTTAAGTTAATTGCCATACCTGCCTATTTTTAAGAACAAATTTTAGACTGTTGTGTCTGAATGCCCAATTTTTAGTTTCAGAAAAGCACTGTTGTCCTTAACAGTTAAAGGGAAAAAAATGCTGCTTATTTGTCTTGTGGCCCCAGATTTCAAGACCCCATTTTAAGGCACTCAGAAGAGAGTGACTCCTTCCTTCAAAAATCTTAAGAGTATAAGCATACAATGAGAGAGCAGGTAAGTACAACTCCTTCACGATGATAACAAAGATTAACAAGAGTTGTTTTGTTAGGAAACAAAAAGACAAACAAGCAGAGAGAGAGTTAGGATTGTTAGTCTGAAATCAGGCAGGGTAGGGATAAGCCTTACAGACTAATTTAAAGTTAGTCTATAAAGGCACATCTCTATCTTGATGAAAAGACAAGTAACTCCTTAGTTCTTAGTTTGGGGATCCTTCATTCATAACAGCATCCCTCTGCTCTGAAAAGCTGTTTCTCTGTTAAGGAAAACCGGACACTACTTTCTTTAAACCAATAAATATTGCTCAGCAAAGCCCAAGAAGGTGAAAGTTGTACTAGGACACAGTAAGCTACTACTTCCCCCATGGGACAGGACAGCTTCCCCTCCATGTTTGATTTTAAGATCAAGGTACTAAATTGAGGGGCTAGATGTCACTAGGGACCATTGATACAGTTTTCTCACCATCACTGGAGCGATGCCATTTTTATCTAGCTGCTGCCACCACCACAACTGCCACCTCCTCAGACACTATTATTCAAGTGCTGCCACCCCTACACACCGTTCTTCTACCATGAAGTAGTGAAGCAAGAACGTAAAACTAGTTAGAAGCATGTTATCTATTTTCTCCTCCTCTCGGTCCTGACATATAAGAGCAATGTACAGATGAGCAAGCAGTTGTGTAGAAATTTCCTTGGAGAGGAACTAGAACATGACAGAGAAGAGAATGCGATACTTGTGGCAGATTAAACTGTGCACTACTCAAAGTATGATAATATTTTATTCAGTCTTGTTAAGCTAGGTAATGTTTAGCAGCCTAGGCACTCTCTCAATATAGCGCGGTGCTACAGTGATGTAGGGGCTAAAAATAACCATGCGCCACTGGCACTCTGCAGTACGGGCTGTTACTGCGGCATTTAGTACTTCCAAAAAGTAGTACTAAATGCCAGTGCAGTAACAACAGCACAGTAGGGGCACACGTAGACACGCCCATTGAAAACAAGTTACTCACCTTAAGTACAGATGCAAACAGAACTGTATGTAGCTGGACTTAACATGATTATATTTACACAGCAGAAAGCTTAGGCAGCCATGTGTCACAGGGTAAACAGTGTTTGAAGGGAAGAATGATTAGAAATACTAGGTTGAGGTTGAGCAAGAACTTATTCAAGATGGAGATCAAGAAAAAAAAGATTCTAGACTTTCAAGATCTCTCTCTTGCAAGGCAAAAGATGGAATTGTCACCCATGGAGTTGGATTTTCACAAGTGCTTGATACCCTGTTGGAAGAAGACCAACTCCACACTCTGAGATGGATTAGAATAGGAAACCTAACAGTTACTTTTTTCCCCCAAAATGTTGCTTTATTTCAAGAAGGTACAACTGAGTTTGATTTTAACATAGCATAATAAAACTTTACCAGTTTCTTATTTTCCAAATGGGGCCTCTGTCCTAGGCAATCCACTCCTTTTCCATTCAACAGACACTATACTTACAGGTGCAAGGTGAAAATTTAGTCCTCAATTTTATGCTACATTTTTCTAGACTAAGAATGAGCTAACAAATGTCAAAATCCATGAAGCGTTCATAGGTCTTTAGATTAAAGGATGTCAAAAAACAGCCTGTGAAGTGACCCTCTATCCCCTAGATCAGTGGTTTTCAAATTGTGCTCCACCGAACCCTGGGATTCCACAACAGGAATGACACAGATTGGGCTGGGTGGTGGTGCACCGCTATTGCCAACCCACGTTGCCTGGCTTCATGTCAGCTTACATACCCATGAAGACATGGACAGAGGATCTGTAGCAGAAGCAGCAATATGAAAGGGCTCCATTACCTTTAGAAGTTTGAAAACCAGTATCCTAGATCTAAACTAAAAATCTGGCTCAAAAAAATTGTTTAACTGGCCACAAAACCAACCTACCCTTAACGTCTTGATGTGTTTGTTTTTTACCTTAAAATGAGCAAGGACAATATAAAAAGAAAGACAACCTCTCACTCTTGGATCACACTGTGCTACAAAACTTAGACACTTTGGCCGCGTCCAGAAGAGTGCCGTGTTGTACGTGATGCTGCAGACAAGTCTGCAGCACCACATACTGCATGTTCAGTTGTTCTCCGCACTGCAAGGGAACAGCACAGAGGGTTTTTTGGACCCCTAAATATCCAGGGTTCAAAAAAACCCACAGAGAAAAAACATGGAGCAGTGCACACATGGGCACTGCGTGCCACTCAAAAGCAGAGCTGGGCTGCCCAGAGCCACGCTGCAGCTGCCAGCCAGGCTACGTGCGGTAGAATCACCACTGCTGCAGCTCTTGGAGGCCCCCAGGACCTGAAGTAAAGCTGCTGGGGCCAGCCCAGTGCTGGCCCCAGCCTCCCCTACCACCCGTGGGGAAACTTGCTGTGCATCAGAGCGTGCATGGCATGGGTGTTCCCCAGGAACAAGTAGTAGTGGTGCAAGGTGCGCCGCTGTTTCATAGTTGTTAGGGGCTGCAAGGGATTCAAAAAGCATTTTAACACCCATCTTGCTGGGGTCATTGAGTTTAAAAGGGCCCGCCAACAGCAAAAAGCGCCCCAGTTAGGCTCCGGAGCAGTGAAAGACACGTGGGTGAAAGCCCACTGCGCCCCCGAGAGACCTCCCAGCAGCCGCGGAGCCCCTCACCGACCCCCAGCACAGCCGGAGGCAAGCGGGGCCCGTGGTGGGAGGAGGCAGTTGAGTGGAGCCAGGCTGGGTCAAGCCCCGCCCAGGCCCCTGCTTGGCCCAGCCCCCCAGGGAGCCACGCAGCCGGAGCTGTGCAAACAGGCTGTGCAAACAGGTGTGCTTGCCTGCCGGCGCATGAGTTAGCGCGGAGTTCGCACAGAAGGGCGCACAGGAGGGCCCAAGACCCTGCCTGCGAAGCCCCCAGGGTAGCCAGTCCCAGCCGTAGCCAGCCTACCAGAGGCATGACACAGATGGGCACGCGTCACACCCTGAGGGTCCCTTCGGGCTCTGCACCCGCCCCCCCCCGGCACCTCAGAGACTGCCACCCAGACGGAGCCTCTGGCTGTCGGCTGCGGGGGGTGCCTGTCCCTTTTTCAGGCTCTGGCAGCGGGGAACATGGCCACCTCCCCGTGTGGGGTCTGCTCCCTTTCAGGGTCTCTGGCGCGCCAGCTGGAGGAGCTTCAGGCCACAGTCCAGAGACTGTGTGCCATCAGGGACTGTGAGCAGGAGATAGACTCCTACTGCTAGGCCTTTCTCCCCCGGGAGCCGGAGGGTAGACCACTGCCTCCCTCCAGGACAAAGGAGGACTCCGGGACCTCTCACTCTGTCCAGTCAGGGGCATGGACCAAGGTGGTCAAGGGCCCTAAGGCCCACTGCACCAAGGCCCCTGCCCCGCCAGAGCTTAGCAACAG